ATTCTTACCCTCAAATTTCCGTACCACGGATAGCTACGGGCCCAGTTCAGACGGACGAGTTCGTCCATGGTCGGATCAGAGGAGGGGGAGAGAGACAGCTGCGAAGCCCTAGTATACTCCATGTTGTAAACCATACCATTAACCGTGGTGTGAGAGGTATTAAGAGGCAATGCTGGCGAAAGAGCTGCGGTCTGAAGGTCATCGTAAAATTACAATTAATTAAGAACATAAATGATTTAACACATCTTTCCAGTGGTTACTAAGCCTGAATCCATCTTCTCGGTTGAAATTGTCTCTGTGCTTGTATATGTGAATGGCCTCATGAACGAATCTCTCATGGTAGCCAGTTGGTTTGCAAAGAACCTCCGTCTTGGAGAAGTCAATGTCATGTGAGCCCACTGAATTGTAACAGTGATCTGCCACGGCAGAGGAGTTCGTCTTACCGTGTTTCAAGTCTGCTTTATGTTCGCGGATGCGGTCCGAGATATGTCTTTTGGTTTCTCCAATGTAGCTACTACCACAGAGGCACTTTAGTTTGTAAACGCCCGGGTACTGTATGTCTGGAAGAGCATCTTTTACAGATGGAACTAAATCACGGATTTTGTGTACTGTGTTGAATCGGACCTGGATCTTGTGTTTATTCAGGATTTTGGAGATCTTTTTAGTGACCCCTGCAATGTAGGGTAAGGTGATGGTTTTGAGTGGCTCCACAAGAGGATCCTTCTTCATGACTGGAGTGATGGCTTTGCGGATTGTGTAGTCGGAGTAGCCATTAGCCCTGAGAGCCTGGTGTACGTGCTTGAGTTCACTGGTAATGTGTTCCTGGTCGGAAATGCATTGGGCTCTATGGTATAGAGTCTTGATGAGGCAGTTCTTCTGGGATGGATGGTGGTGGGAATCCGGTTTTCAAGTAAGCATCTGTATGGGTAGCTTTCCTGTAGACAGAGTGGCTCATTGAACCATCATGTCTCCTTTTAATTAAGACATCCAGAAAGGGTAGTTTGCCATCTTTTTCGACCTCCATGGTAAATCTGATGGCTGGGTGTATGGAATTGATGTGGTCGCGGAATTGGTCTAGAGCAGCTATTTCTGTGACCAGTCACAAGCTAATCATTCAGCCATTTCAATGCTAAATTTTATGCTAATCCCTTTGTCAAGGCTCTTTGTTCCTCTCACACAGCTTAAAAGCCGTGATCTGAACGTGGCTCTCTCACTCCAGCGCTGTCCTACCAGACAGTCTCGCCCCCTTCACCTGATGAAGGCCGCTTGTGTTGTGGCCGAAACGTCGTGAGAATATTATTGTTATTTTATTTTATCAATGTATTATTTTATTCTCATTCTACGTGACTTTACCGAAAGAACCAAAGAAGATGAATCATTGCAGTCACGAAAGCTTTAAATCGAAATGTAGTAGCTACTACATGTAGTAGCTACAACATGCTACTACACATGCAGTAGCTACACATGCAGCTGCTACTACATGTTGTAGCTACTACATGTTGTAGCTACTACATGTTGTAGCTACAACATGTAGTAGCTACAACATGTAGTAGCTACAACATGCTACTACTACATGCAGCAGCTACACATGCAGCAGCTACATATGCAGCAGCTACACATGCAGCAGCTACACATGCAGCAGCTACTAGAGGCAGTAGCTACACATACAGCAGCTACACATGCAGCAGCTACTACATGCAGTAGCTACTACATGCAGCAGCTACACATACAGTAGCTACTACATGCAGTAGCTACACATACAGTAGCTACTACATTCAGCAGCTACTACACATGCAGCAGCTACACATGCAGCAGCTACACATACAGTAGCTACACATACAGTAGCTACACATGCAGTAGCTACTACACATGCAGCAGCTACACATGCAGCAGCTACACATGCAGTAGCTACACATGCAGCAGCTACTACATGCAGTAGCTACACATGTAGTAGCTACACATGCAGCAGCTACACATGCAGCAGCTACACATGCAGTAGCTACACATGCAGCAGCTACACGTGCAGCAGCTACTACATGCAGTAGCTACACATGCAGTAGCTACTACATGCAGTAGCTACACATGCAGCAGCTACTACATGCAGTAGCTACACATGCAGTAGCTACTACAGGCAGCAGCTACTACATGCAGTAGCTACACATGTAGTAGCTACACGTGCAGCAGCTACTACATGCAGTAGCTACACATGCAGTAGCTACTACATGCAGTAGCTACACATGCAGCAGCTACTACATGCAGTAGCTACACATGCAGTAGCTACTACATGCAGTAGCTACTACGTGCAGCAGCTACTACATGCAGCAGCTACTACATGCAGCAGCTACACATGTAGTAGCTACTACATGCAGTAGCTACTACATGCAGTAGCTACACATGCAGCAGCTACACATGCAGCAGCTACTACATGCAACAGCTACACATGCAGTAGCTACTACAGGCAGCAGCTACACATGCAGCAGCTACTACATGCAGCAGCTACACGTGCAGTAGCTACATGTGCAGTAGCTACACGTGCAGTAGCCACACGTGTAGTAGCTACAACATGTGTAGTAGCTACAACACATGTAGTAGCTACTACACATGCAGTAGCTACACATGCAGCAGCTACTACATGCAGCAGTAGCGACTACAGGTGTAGTAGCTACTACTACATGTAGTAGCTACTACATATGTACATATGTACATACATATGTAGTAGCTACACATGTGTTGAGGCGTAGATGATGACTCGGAGGCAGATCTTCATGTAGGGGCTTGCGCCAGTTTTATTAAAGACTTTTCTTCACACACGACTCCGTGTACTGCGCTCTCACTGCCTACACTCCACACCCCAGGGGAAGGGTACTGGGGATTCCCTAGCACACCCGCAGGCTACCCTAGCTTAGTGCTAATTTCCCCTACCCGGGGTACCAACTTGCAACTGCACACGTTCCTGGCTCCTCGCTACGGCCTCGAACACGTCACGGGTCCCAACCTAAATATCCCAGGGGGACATGTCACCGTCCCGCCCCCTGTGCATGACGTCACCATAATGACGTTATCGTACCGGAGGGCGAGCGTGACATGACGTCAATAACTACTACTCTACACATGTCGTAGCAGCTACATATGTAGTAGCTACGGCACTTTGAAGGGCCCCGCACTTACATGCAGTAGCTACTACATGCAGCAGCTACTACATGCCCCGCACTTTGAAGGGCCCCGCGCTAAATGCTATCAAGCTATCAATTCCGGTTCACTGATTCTGCACTTGCTCTATTACAATAGTACTATACCGTCTTAAACTTTTACGAAGGACTGGGTGTTTAAGGTTAGCGATTTGTCGTATTGTCTGGGCTGTATAGCAAATGAAAAAAAATACAATTACTTTACTATGCAAGTAAAAAATGTATGTGCTTTAATATTTATGTATTTATTGATTTAGGAGCCCCTTTACAACAAATGCTACAGGCCCCGCACCGAGCTTAATCCGGCACTGGTGCCAGCAAACATTGTTCAGGGCACAACGAGCTGCGTTGTTTGTTAACTCGCCAAGTTGGACGTGCCACAAACAACAACAATAACAAACGCCATTCGCCACTAAGTGGCGGTGACGTCAACCACGACGCTCGTGCCAGGCTATGTGCACGTTAAAGCCACACACAAACACGCGACTTTGGCACAACGTTTGGCTACAGATTAAACCGCATATGCCAACGTCGGTGGCTACAACGCAAACTTTGGTGTGGTGGAGTGGAAGTGCCCGGATCCACATCCCCTAACAAACCCCAGACGGCCTTTCACCAGTCAACATGCAAACGTCGGGCGAACGTTGGTTGGCCTGCGGTTTGAAATCGTTGAACAAAAACCTCCCAACGTTGGCCCGACGTTCCGTTACAAACTTCGGGTGCTACTTGTGAGGGGAAGGCACAGCGGCTTGTCACGTAAGTAACGCAGTCCGTGTCTTTTATTTTTTTGGTGTATTCATGTTGCGAGTTTGATTTAAACGTTTTATATATATAGAGAGAGATTTTTGTGAAATCTCGATACGCGTTTTTATTATAAAAATGTATTAACTTGCCTATGAAGCACAATTACAGAGTAATCCATAGCATACTCTTTGGTTCTATTGGGTAAAGTCACGTAGGTGAAAATAAAATAACAAAAAATCTCGACGTTTCGGCCACAACACAAGCGGCCTTCATCAGGTGAAGGGACGAGACTGTCTGGAGGACAGCGCTGGAGTGGAAGAAGCCACGCTTAGATCACGACCTTTAAGCTGTGTGAGAAGAAACAAAGCGCCTTGACAAAGGAATTAGCATATAATTTAGCATTGAAATGGTTCATTGAAATAGCTAAGTTAAAGTATACACATCCGCAGAGGTACTCCTTGACAAAGGAATTAGCATAGAATTTAGCATTGAAATAGCTGAGTGATTAGCTTGTAACTGGTCACAGAAATAGCTATGTTAAGGTTAGAGCATATACATTCACCGAGGCACCTAGTACTCATCAAACAGGAGAACTTAGCGAAACACAACCACGCTCAGACATCGGACCTGTGTGCGAGCAAACAAGGTGTTCTGACAAAGAAATTAGCATAAAAATTCGCATTTGATTGGCGGATTTTAGGAAAGAGGTGGTGTACGTGCCGGTGGACTCGCAGTTTGGCGCTTAAAGGTCGTGATCTAAGCGTGGCTTCTTCCACTCCAGCGCTAATTCCTTTGTCAAGGGGTACCTCTGCGGATGTGTATACTTTAACTTAGCTATGTCAATGAACCATTTCAATGCTAAATTATATGCTAATTCCTTTGTCAAGGCGCGTGGTCTTTTTTTCTTCTCACAGCTTAAAGGTCGTGATCTAAGCGTGGCTTCTTCCACTCCAGCGCTGTCCTCCAGACAGTCTCGTCCCTTCACCTGATGAAGGCCGCTTGTGTTGTGGCCGAAACGTCGTGATTTTTTGTTATTTTATTTTCACCTACGTGACTTTACCCAATAGAACCAAAGAGTATGGATCCTAGCAGTCACGAAAGCTTTAAATCTAGAATTAATCCATAGCAGCCTATGTCCATTCTAAACCACAAGCATGTTAATTATACACACTTCAAAAACGCAATACTGTATAAAATATATATACCAAGGGCCAGTATTACAGCATCGAACTTTAATAAAAGTTCTGAAGCAGATTTTCTTTTTGTAACAACAAAAAAATCCCGCCAAAAGTAACGGCCGAGTCCCGACGCCAATTCACGTACAGTGTCGCGTAACTGTACCAACATCGGCGACCACAACACCCACCCATCCCTTCGTGCCCCGCCGCCGCCGCCACTCGCTCGCCCCCCTTGCCCCGAGAGCTCGTCGAGGCGGGTGACCCTTTGCCTTTGGTGCGGGGGAGCGGTGGCGCTGCGATTCGCGCCGCCGCACGCGAGACCCGACCTCCGACTCCCCGCTCACGGCCCCACAAACACCGACGACGAAATCTCTGGACCGGGCCACCCGGGGCCATCGGCCTCCGCCTCAACACGAGTGGGGGGGTACCCGCTGCGGTGTTGCAGGTAAACATCGCCACATTGGGGGGGAGACAAAGGCGGCCGTGCGCGCGTGGTCGGTGGCCACCCCACACCTCCCTCTCCGTGTTTACGCAGACGGCGCTGCTGCTCGCTACTAATCCGTAATACAGGGAAAGGGTTTTGTTGTACTACGGATGATATTGTTCGCGAAAGCCTTACGTGTTAAACCGACTCGCTACTAACAATCTCTTGCCACCCCCCCTACCCCCCACGAAATAAAAGTAATGCTCTGGTTACAATGTGGTTACAACAACGGGGATGATGATGATCTGCTGTGTTGCACCGTGCGTGTGTCGAGCTGCAGGATGCAACGTCGCGTCACAGGGGGCGCCGCTGTGCACACCAAAGACCCCCCCCCCCGTTGAGCCATTTAATTAAAGCTATATAATAATTATAATTATCGGAGCGTGTTTTTTTTGTTTGCACGTTCAAGCCGCAAATACGTGTTGTTAATGCAGACAGGATGCCTTGCAAAAAATGTTTCTGTTTGGTGTTCGAACATCTTGGGACACCTTCTGATTTAAAGCTTTCGTGACTGCAGGGGTTCATATTCTTGGTTCTTCCGGTAAAGTCACGTAGAAGAAAAACAATAAAATAATAAAAATATAAAACAATCAAATTCTCACGACGTTTCGACTGCAACACAAGCAATCATCATTAGGTGTGAAAACCACAACAAGAAAATTTGAAGAAAAACGCCACTTTTTTCAAATTTTCTTGTTGTGGTTTTCACACCTGATGATGATTGCTTGTGTTGCAGTCGAAACGTCGTGAAAATTTTATTGTTTTATTATTTTATTGTTTCCCTTCTACGTGACTTTACCGAAAGAACCTAGAATATCTTGACACCTGTTTTATTGCCAGAAAGGGGTAAAACCTATTTTTATATTTTGATAACTGGCAAGGTCCCAATATTGCTGTTGGTTCACGTGTTGTTCGCGACTTGACAAGCACCTATGAATGTACCTGTCAACCCATACGGTGTACCCCTAATTCTTGTACAACCCTCACCTCCTCCCTCTTATCTCACTCCCTGACCTCATCTACCTCCCTGCGATAGCCTGATAAAGCGTGTCCCACACTTACCTGTCAACCCATACGGTTTACCCCTAATTCTTGTACAACCCTCACCTCCTCCCTCTTATCTCACTCCCTGACCTCATCTACCTCCCTGCGATAGCCTGATAAAGAGTGTCCCACACTTACCTGTCAACCCATACGGTTTACCCCTAATTCTTGTACAACCCTCACCTCCTCCCTCTTATCTCACTCCCTGACCTCATCTACCTCCCTGTGATAGCCTGATAAAGCGTGTCCCACACTTACCTGTCAACCCATACGGTTTACCCCTAATTCTTGTACAACCCTCACCTCCTCCCTCTTATCTCACTCCCTGACCTCATCTACCTCCCTGCGATAGCCTGATAAAGCATGTCCCACACTTACCTGTCAACCCATACGGTTTACCCCTAATTCTTGTACAACCCTCACCTCCTCCCTCTTATCTCACTCCCTGACCTCATCTACCTCCCTGTGATAGCCTGATAAAGCGTGTCCCACACTTACCTGTCAACCCATACGGTTTACCCCTAATTCTTGTACAACCCTCACCTCCTCCCTCTTATCTCACTCCCTGACCTCATCTACCTCCCTGTGATAGCCTGATAAAGCGTGTCCCACACTTACCTGTCAACCCATACGGTTTACCCCTAATTCTTGTACAACCCTCACCTCCTCCCTCTTATCTCACTCCCTGACCTCATCTACCTCCCTGCGATAGCCTGATAAAGAGTGTCCCACACTTACCTGTCAACCCGTACGGTTACCTCGTTTTCTTGTACAGGGAAATTGCGTGTTCAGGTCCATACGGCGTACAGCCGTTTCACAATACAGGCAAAAAAAAACGCGTCTTGTTTGTGTTTCTCCCTTGTGATGTGACTTTGTAGGATGAACTTTGAGATTTATAAGGGCACAGAGTGACCAATAAGGTCTGCATTGGTCTGTAATAAGGTAGGCACTGATAAGGGGTTTGACAGGTATGAATGAAGGCCGCCATCGCACAACACCGGGGGTGTTGGGGTGGCAAGCACCACGCACGCCCAGCTGCCTTTGTCTCCCCGGTGGTGATGTTTAGACAATGCACCGGGTGCTCATTCAAAGGCTGAGTTGACCTCTAGGAAGGCTTCGCACCGGGTTCAGATATTTGTCACTGATGTTGGCCGTGAGCGATAATTGAACTCATACATTCATGTTATGTACGTGTGCTAGAATAACATGTTATGAAAAAAGGTTTAGCATAACACAAAATCTCTCTTTTGTGCTATGCCAATGCCATTTGTGTGTCCACGTTTGCAGTTATAATTTTTTTGCTTGCTGAACTAAAATTGTTCAGCAATTTAATGAAATATAACTACTCCGCAATTGCAATTTTATGATGGTATTCAAGTGCCAATCAAATTGATTTGTTTAGCTTTCGCGGGTGGCGGAGCATTCGAGCTCGAATTCACATTCTGCACACATTACCTACGATCTAACCAGAAAGAAAACAATTGCAAATCATATTGAACTGTGAAAGCTCACATGAAAATGCAAAGAGATATTCCATTTTTACATTTTGTCATTTTCAGAGAGAGTTACATAAAAGCACTTCACCTCGTCCAGAGGGAGAGCACAGGTGACATCGAATATGGAGAGTATTGATGCACAGAGACAAAATAGACTGTCAAAAATTCCACATAAATACCATAACTCATCAGGAAGCGAGAATTATGATGGTGAGCATATAATTAGTATACATTTATTGTGAATAATATTTTTTATTTATTTTCCAGCTGTCAATATATTACTGCATCGGCATTGTTAACTTTAAAATGTAACTAAATATTGCATATGGCGCGTGTTTACCTCCCTATCAGTGGCTATGTTCTGTATTTCCACATGTGATGTAGATGAAGGAGAGAAGCCAAATAAGAAAATGAGAGTTGCAGCTATGTCAGCCGAGGCCATTCAGTGCTGCTCAGTGGTGGCCCTGCCATTGCCACCAGAATTCATCACTCACCCAGCTCTGGCTGAATTTTGCTCGCAAACAAGTGGTATGTGCATCTTAAGACTTGGGTAAATCTATATATATAAAAGGGAAATTTGCGAATATGTGTGTCTGTTCGAAATGTTTGGCATACTTCCCAACATGCAACAAACTTGAAATTTGGCATGTGGGTAGCTTTCAGACTGTACACAATGAAGAAAGTATAAAAATAGACTTTTGTATTTTGGGGGGGGGGGCGCAATAATGGATATAATATATTACACGGTTAGTGAGCGGTGACGTCACATCTGTGATGTCACCTGCATGCGGCAGCGTTACGCAGTGTGCCTGCTGACGTCACGCATCCCCAACCCTCCGCGTAGGCCGTGTATTAATCCAAGACAAGAATCCAAGTCTCGGGCGAAGCCGGGTAGTAAAGCTAGTATAGCATACAGGAATCTTTGAAGCAGTAAATGTCAGTCACTAAATGGAAGGCATCGAAATACAGACTCACTCGCTCCTGAGTGAAAAAGAAGCAAAATGGCCTTAGTCATAATTGGTTACGAATAACAACAGTGTTTCAGAATGCTTAACATTGCCTGAGGACTTCTTTAGTGTTCGCAAAGATGCAAGCCATTGCAATGTTTTGGCAAATGGTGAAAATATATTTTTTTGGTTGTTTTTCTTCTCTCTTGATATTGTTTCCCCTGACAATTTTGTTTTATTCACAGCCTCAACGTCCAAAGACAGACTTTACATGATTAGAACCCCTTCGCCGCTTGGACAGACGTCAACAGGAAGTTCACGAGCAGGGAGCTATTCAATAGAAGGTGAAAAAGTCAGAATGTGTCCTGTATGTGATGTCATTGAACTGAGGTACTGCTTTGGGAATTGCAGCAGAATTTTCAAAAATTTAAGCCATTGTAAATTTGGCTGAATTATGCAATTAGATTTTGGCTTCATAAACTCATTTTGTGACTATATCCACAGATCGGATTTCCAAAGGACACACTCATACCCCACAAAGGCACGACCTAAGTGCGTTACTTTTAGATTTGTGTTCTGTTCTCATTATTTAAAATAATTTGTTACATTCACATAAACTTATATAATTATTTATGTCTATTTGAGTTAATACCAGGAAGGATTTTTAAAAAAATTGTTTACATTTAACTGCAGAATTCAATATTAACGAAATTGTAAACACCAGAAATAATCATTAATATATTTCCTGATTTACAGATTACAAGAGCCAAGTTCTACTCAAACTGGACATCATTATAGAAAACCAGGCGGAGCAATTACACCTTTTGCAAACACTTGCAAACAGAGCGGTTGTAAATGAGACCTTGGAGGATGTTCTTCCCAACCCATTCAACACGACGGATGAACTTGAAGAGCTTTGCTGTAGAATTAGCACAGATGACAAATTCAAAAAGGACATGGTATATTACTTTTGGTAAATGCAAATGAAAAATGTGCTTGTATAATATTGTTTTAACATTATAAGTAACAACGTCCATCTGTTTAAGGTGTACTTTAGTGAATGTAAGAAAGTGTATGGTGTATTAAATAAAGCAATGTCATGTTCAGAAGAGTATTTTCTCAAAATGTCTGAATTATTCTTCACAGATATCCTATCTGAGTTCACTGGGTGGATGTAACGTTGGGGACAGTGTCCACCGAATGATGAGAACGCTCGGCACCAATGCCCTGTGGTCAAAGTACAGCCTCAAAGGGAGAAAAGGGAAGCTGTCCCTAATATATCTTCCAGTTTTCATGGTGCTGACGAGTAAGTATGTTGCGTTATAATAATGCTTTTTTTCTTGCTCATATAAAGCAAGTCCGTTTTTTTTATTATTTTACACGCTTTTATTTAACTCACTGTGTCTGTTGTTGTATCCTGAAATCTTGTAACTAAATTTTAACCCACTTCCCAATGTGGTATCGACTGCAAACATGGTATACTTATGTCATACTGATGACATTAAAAATAAAAAATAGATATTTCTAAACATTTTTTTATGTTATGTTTAGGCTTGGCTCTAATTGTCCACGCTCAACTGATGGCTGTAAATCACCACGGCCCCTTACGTTATGGCAAGCTTTGCGGCCACTTTCTGTAGTCGTGGAGTTCTGCCATTACGAGTACGGTACATTTTATTAAAGCGTGTTTTAAAAAAGGTATTTTTAAATATTATTCATGTTATTTTTATTCAGTGAAGCACAATACTTTGTGGGACTGACATCCATATGAGAAAGTGGCATTTGTGGTGTAATCCAAATGTTACGGGCAATCACCAGATATTTTCATGATTTTATTTAGGATTTATATATCCCAAAAATTTGAAGAAAAAATTCCACTGTGTATACTTAAACTAGCTAAATTGTTTTATGACTCAAAATCAATCGGTACTTTGAGCATATATGTATAAAAAAATGTTTATATATATACAGGAGCTTGCTTAAAGAACCACCCAAGAGCAAACGTGAAGGAAATAGAGGGAGAGATTGCAGAAACCCTAAAGCATGCTCCCAACAAACGAGGAGGGGCAAATTACAAGGTGATGTCCATGCTGCTCATCTTTGTTAAGGTGGTTAGACCTATAATGATAGGGTTTTCCCCTTTTTCCTGGCAACAAAACTGAAACCTTTTTACAAGGATTCATGTCTGCATTAACCACAATACCTGCAGTCAAAATGCAAACAAAAAACATACTATGATAATATATGCATTGTCCTTGAAACTGATTGGTCCACACCAAGGGACGGCTTTCTTTTGAGCCTCGACCTAATTGGTGCTCGACCAGATGACGCCAAAAAGCATACAGCATATATTATCATAGTATGTTTTTTGCTTGCATTTTGACTGCAGGTATTGTGGTTAATGCAGACATGAATCCTTGTAAAAAAAGTTTCAGTTTTGTTGCCAGAAAAAAGGGGAAAAACCCTATTATTATATTTTGGTACTGGCAAAGGAGGTCTAATGATGAGGTTAAACCTGTTTGGTAATTTGCTTTGCTTGGGTACGGTTAATCTTTCTCCTTTGGTATAATTTTTGACTTTCAGTCCTGTAAATGATTACAAAAACAAGTTTTCACTGATAACAACATCAATCAGACATCAGTATTCAAATGTAAAAATATTTGTCAGGACCCTAAAGGTTTCAAACATTTTCCTACAGTTGAACTTTTTATTCCTTCCACTGACACATTTTAATTCAGAATGTTATATTTGTCAGGATAGAATACACGTGGCTGTAGAATTGTGTAACTGAAGGCCATTTAATGTATATTTCTCATCCTTTTATAAACTAACCACAATTGTGGTTAGTTTAGTTTATTCTGACATCTTAAATGTATTAACCATATGCTTTATGTATGTGGGTAAACTAATGTATTACATTTTGACTTAAAACTTTCGTGACTGCAGGAATTAATATTCTATGGTTCTTTCAGTAAAGTCACGTAGATAGAAAAATAATAACAATAAAATAATAAAAATGAAATTAAAGTGAATAAAAAATCACGACATTTCGATTGCAACACAAGCGGTTGTCATCAGGAACAGGATGACGACCACTTGTGTTGCGATCGAAACGTCGTGATATTTTTATTTTTTTATTCACTTTATTTGTAGTCTGTTATTTTTTCTCCATAATAAAGGTTTTTGGATTAGATCGCGTTTATTTATAAATAAATGCGATCTAACCCAAAAACCTTTATTATGAATAATATTGGTCGCGAAAGCCTACGTGTTAAACTGTTATTTTTTCTATTTACGTGACTTTACCGAAATAACCATAGAATATGTTTGAAATGTTTAATTGCAAATAACTTTTTTTCCAAAACGTGAAAAATGACCATGTAGAAATAAAAACACGATGTGATTTTTGATCTATGCAAAAACTGCTAAAATTTGCAATATTTACCTTGAATACTAAATGTTTGGAAGGAAAATTATGCTCCTAAATAAATATATATTAAATAGGCCCAAACCTATTAAATAGGCGAATAAATATCTTATTTACTTTGTATGCACACACTGGTCTAAGAAATTTGCAGGTCGCTGTATTGTACAAAATATGTTCCACATGGGAGCCTGTGTTTACAAGTGTGAAAATGGTGGCATTTAATTCACATTGTTGCTAATTTAAAACGTATTCCTTTCAGGAATCTGCAGTCAGGACTTTAAGGAATAAGTACCAGTCCAGCCTTCCCACGTCTTTCTCTGACACTGATCTTTAAAATTATGAAATCAATACAACCTTAAAATGCCATTTGTAAAAGTTTCATAGCTCGGCCTATATATATAAAAAAGCAATTTAAAGTAGCTGACATTAATGGCAAAATGTTATCTCTAGCGTCTGTACTATATTAGTTTAAGTGTGTATTATGTGTACTCAATTTGTACTTTTTCGAGTGAAAATAAATGTTTAATATCACTTATGTTTCGTGAAATTTTCTACACAATTCATTGATCCCTTTAAGGTAGAAATGCAAGAGTGCATTGCTATTCTGCAATGTTGTGGCAACGTAATTCAAACCGTACAACTTAACGTTGCTGCAACGTTGAAGTCGAACGTTACCGTAACCATACCAGAACATTATAGCAACATTGTAAAATTGTAGAACTGTTAGCTGGGTGGTTAGCAAGTTGTTTCGGGTTATAACCAAGTCTTATCGTGGTTGCTTTTGTGGCAGTGTCTTGATATTGACTAAAAATAAGATCCATTTTCATTCTAAACCTTTTAACATAATCCAGGCATGACTTCAACACAGGTATGACGGAGGCAGAGAGGCATCGGGGCTCCGATTACATTTCCAGGGGGGGGGAGGGGCATTTAATTTTAAACCCAAGAGGAGGAATCTTGCGTGCCGTGTTTACATTTTGACCCACGTGTCATCGCATGTGATGGACAGCACGTGAATGGCGGTCTGGTACGAGGACCGAGGCACCTACCTGTCAACCCCTTATTAGTGCTGCCTACCTTATTACATACCAATTCAGACCTTATTGGTCACCCCATGCCCTTATACATCTCAACGTTCACCCTTCAAAGTGCCATCACAAGGGAGAAATACAGACTATATATGATTTTGCCCGTATTGAAACGGCTGTACGCCGTATGGAGCTGAAAACTAAATTAGCCTGCACAAGAATACGGGGTAAACTAAATGTATGGGTTGGTTGACATGTATGGAGGCAGGTGTTCGTACACGCGCTGATTGCAAGCGTGGGATACTCGCTCATACTCTATTAAAATATAGGAGGGAGGTAGAAGAGGTCGGGGAGGGAGACTGAGGAGGTAGGTGAGGGTTGGAGATGAGGCGGGGGGGAGAGACGGAGAGGGACGGGGAAACAAAGGGGCATGAAACGTTGAGGAAAGAGAGCAAGAGGGGACAGGGAGGGGGATAAGGTCAGCGAGGTCCGAGAGACGGGGAGATTTAGGGGGTGTGTGAGATATATTGTAGGGAGGAGACGGGGACAGGAATTGAGAAACAATTCAGAAACAAAAATCAAAGCGATAAATTGAGATAAATTTCGACGTATAGTACAGGGAATGCAAGAGAAAGGCCGAGCCATGGAGCAATGCAAGAACACACGTGTACTGTATTGCTTGATGACTCGGGACCTGCAGGTTGCTAGTACTGTACGCCTATTTATTAGAGCATTATAGCTCAAAATTGGTGAAAGTGTAAAGTACCATTTTAAAAAGATAACAGGAGACATTAAATAATTCTTGATAATGAAACTTAAAAAAAATAACTTGTATTAATTTGTACGAGTACTGTAATATGAAGTACGTTTTATATGATTAATGGTACTCTATTTGATTCAGATCGATAGCTGATGGATAAATAAAGTTAATTATATATTTTTCCTAATTCACTAGGGCAGTCACGATTGCGAGCTATTGTTGAGAGTTAAAGTGAAATGCGTCAATACAGCACCAATAATAAGAGTTGGATCAATATTTAGCTATGATCCCTGCATACACCGTGAACCAAGTAATAAATTCTAGTAATTAATAACTAAATGTGAGTTTAACATAGCATGTACCAACTCCGACTGCTGATGAGACCAATGAGATAGAAACCAAACTAAAGCTGACTTGCAAACACAAATGTTGCTGTATAGAACAAAACAATATTGTTCTCGAGCGCCCATAGACTGACAGGACTAAAATATTTTGTATGTCGAGATATAATTACCTACATTTAAATACTTGTGCGATGCATTACTGCGGGTTGGCACGAGTTGCATAAACACGATGGCCTATCTATGTGCCCTTACCATACCTGTCAACCCCTTATCAGTGCCTACCTTATTACACACCAATTCGGACCTTATTGGTCATCCCCTGCCCTTATAAATCTCAACGTTCATCCTACAGTTCCCATCACAAGGGAGAAATACATCGACCAAACAAATGTTCCCGTATTGAAACGGCTGTACGCCGTATGGAACTGAAAACTCAAATTTCCCTGCACAAAAGCAAGGGGGTAAACCGCGTGGGTTCGGCAGGTATGTGACACCTATGTGCTCTTATGAGTAAAAAAATTGAAAATTTTGCTTAATTCCAGAGCAGCGTTACCCGACACCGAAACACATTAAATAGATTTTACTCGTCTGCCTCAAGGCGCGCCTGTGGTCTAAGCTGCGTGCTTCCGGTGCGCGAGAGACCCGTATGTAGCCCCCCCCCTGATCCCCCTTCCTCCTACCCCACCCCCGTTCTCCTCACCCCGCCTCGCCCCGCCCCGCAAACAACATGTCGCGCGCTCGTGTTTTTTTTTTCCCGCCAACTAATCTCGCGCTCTTTCTCTGCCTCCCTCGGTCACGTGCCAGCGCCTCGACCAATGGGCAACGCCGGCTTTGGCGCGCGCACTTGGCGGGAGGAAAGCGGGGGGCGGCCGGGCTACAGGGTTGTGTGTGGGGAGGGGGCGGGGTTTTAGGAAGAGGGGCGGGGTTTTGGAGGAGGGGCGGGGTTTTTTGGAGGAGGAGTTGCGATGGTGGGGGTGGGGGGAGCTTACGGGAGACCCCGGGGCGGACAAAGACGGCGCGGTGAGCCGGGCCGACGGGGCTGAGGTCTTACGGCACCCGTTTACTCACGCGGGCGAGCTCACTGCGGTCAGTGAACGCGCTTGTGTTGACCAAACAAAAAAACAAATCGCTTAATTTTGCCGCGCCACGCATTCGCGTCGTTGTTAGCGTTCTCGCGAGGTCGACATTTTGTCGTCTTTACCCCCCCCCCCTTCCCGCGCGCATGGACGTGACCCTAGTCCCCCGTGTGTTATCGCGGCCGCCCGCCATGGCGGCGCCTCTCTCTCTCTCTCTCGCTCGTGTGCAGGACTAGAAGACGGGAGTTAACGAGGGGTGAGACGACGAGGTGGAGGAGAAGACAAGATTGTCCCGCGCTGTTTTCCCCGCTGCTGTAGTTGCTGTTGCTGCTGCTGAGGCAATGTCCGACACGGGCGGTAAGTGTGAGAGACGTGGTGGTGGTGGTGGGTAGGTGGGGAGACGAAAGGCGGGAGAACTGTGGCATATGGAGGCGGCTAGGCCCGTGGCTTATCAAGCCGAGGCCGATTCCCCCCGCGTTGCTCGTGGTTGCCCACGGGTCTTGCTACCCTGGTGTAGACGCGGCCTCCCCTTGCCGCAAAGCGGGGTCGCTCGCCCCGCTGGGTAGTCGGGGGGCACCGCGTTTGGTTCCGTGGTAGCGAGTCCGCGGTTCTTCCAGGATGACCGTGGATAGAGGCCTGAGGTTGTGCATCAATCGTGGGCGGTGGTTGCATGGTGGATTACATTTGTCGAGACGTGGTGATTCCGAAATTTAAATTGTTCAGGCCTGGTGGATTGCAATTGTTCCGACGTGTTGGTTTAATGGTGACCTGTGGCTGATTGTTTAAAATAAGGCGCGGAATGGTTGCACGGTCAATTGAAATTTCCAAGACGTGGTGGTGGTGGGTGGACTACAGCATCCTTAGATGTGGTTCCATAGTTCCTAGGTTGTGGAATGAAATTAGTCAGGGGTGGTGTTTCCATGGTTATCTGGTGGTGAATTGAAATTGTTTAGAGATGGTGGTTCCATGGGTAGCTCGCAGTGGTGTACAAAGAATAGCTGAAAAGATTCGCAGTGAACCTGTGCTAGATTACCGATCGTCGGACATTGGTCTTGGCCAAACGTGGTTAAATTGGCGCGCCACGGTGGTGAGATGTTAACTACCTCGCGTGGTACGCAGAAGGTCGTGGGTGCCATCCAGACCCTGACGCCTATTTGGAGTTTGTATGTTTTCCCCGTGGTCGTGTGGATTGTTCTCTTGCTCTTCCAGTTTTTCCCTGCACATTTATCATCAGAGTATTGGGCTGCTATACATTTCCACATGTATGTTAACTTATATTCTTAGCTCTTTCGGTAAAGTCACGTTGAAGGGAAACAATAAAATATATATAAAACATATAAAATATATATTTTATTGTTTCCCTTCAACGTGACTTTACCGAAAGAGCTAAGAATATGAATTACTGCAGTCACGAAAGCTTTAAATCAAATATGTTAACTTAGTTGAGCTATTATTTGTGACAAGGTTGCTTCTGAAAAAGATCTATATTATATCTTAGTAGGCCTTACCTGGATTAAAAAAATATTGCTCAATTACAATTACAGCAGCATTGTGCTCATAAGTACGTTATGCTTGCAATGCACAATTATAATTTATTTCAGGCCTGGTCCAGAGTGTCTTGAGGCTATTACTGGGTCGGTGGCCTGGATTGAATCTAGATTCTGCAGTAGTGCATTAAGAGTGGTCTAGAATAGATCCAAAGTGGTTTGGGGTAAATCTGTGGTGGATAAGGGTGGTCTGGGGTGGATTAACAGTCATTCGTTAGCAATTCAAGCTTGCACAGCGTGCTTCCAAATTTGTACAGGAGTCTCGGAGTGGATCTGTGGCCGAAACGTCGTGATTTTTGTTTTATTTTTTACCTACGTGACTTTACCGAATAGAACCAAAGAGTATACTCGTGGGGGTGGTTTGTGGTGACCTGAGGTGGGTTATATCTGATCCAAGGGTGTATTCAAGGCTGCCTGGAGTAATTGGAAGAGCATGCAAGAGATTGACTTGAGAACTCGGTGGTGAGTGTTGGCTTATGGAGGAGAGGGGTGGCCTGTGTTTGTGATCACGTGGTCTACGAGTTCCAGACACCATGTGACACATTTATATAGGACATGTGACCACTCTTTAATTTGGTATTCCTTGGTTCTTTCGGTAAAGTCGCGTTGATAGAAAAAAAATAAAGTTAATAAAAATTAAATTATTAAAATTAAAATAATTGGTGTTCTGGAGTAGTGTTTCTCAGAATCCAGCCCTTTTGACTCCGTACCCGCCCCCTACGGTGCAGGTTTCTATGGCTACAAATCTGAATGCATATGCTAATGAAGTCACTGGA